AACTAACTGAACAATCTCCCGAAGGTTCAATAGTTTTCTGTCCACAATTTAACAATTCTTTTTTTTTTTTTACAGAGTTGAATCTTTTGATTTTCAAGCATCTTGTCTGAAAACGGAAGAAAAACAAGCTACAGCAGCAGGTGCTAGATCATTGCATATTGTAAGTTCATTAATTCACTTCTTAGCAAAACATCTGTAAAATTTCATGTACATGGAGGGAACTTTAACAAAAATATTGAGGGCATCCTTCATCAGGTCGACAGTATTTCATGTTTGTAGCTTACATGAAGTAATATTCTGTTCTGTTCTCTGAAGATGAATTCATGCATTTATGTAAACCCAGAATTTATATGGATGATCAGTCTATTACGTATTATTTTTGATGGATATGCTTGGTTTCTTTGCAGCCATCTTTACCAGAAGCTCTCACCCTTAACTGGTGGGCAACCAAAGCTTCATGGTGAGTACTCACACTTTTTTTACATACCTTAGAAGACAAAATGCATCAAGACTAATGGTTAATTTTAAAACCCCTATTTTTACTTCATATGCCTTCCATACTCACAAGACATAAGAGTTCTTACAAAGCTTTCTTTGATTTCATTTTTTTTAGGAGTTATATTCAGTACAATCTTTATAATATACTCTTCTCATCCTGGTCAACAACCGGTAAGTTCTACTGGAGTTTTATGTTCTTGTTTATGGCGCGACACCAATTTCTACTACTGTGTGTCTAAATCAGACAAAGTATGCCTTATTACTGCCAGCCAGTTGACAGCCCCAGAATTAAGAATAATTATAGTATCACCTACCAGGTACACATCACCTGTACCTGTAGAATATAGTTTCTCACTTTTTCGGCAGTAGGTACATGCTGGAAATTTGGTTTTGGGAGCTGTCAAGTATGTTTAGTTAACACTTTTGTTGGTGTGCCATTAATTTATCTATAAGGAAACTGTGTAGATTAGCCTGTGTTTGCCAGTTTTATCAATCCGTTCAGCAACAATGTTTGCTTGCTGTTCATTTCAAGATGATTAACAATGTCTTGGTGCATGTGGATACAAAGTTATAAACTAACCTTCCAAATGTGACATGGTTGTTTGCTACTTTACCTACTTGCTCCAAAAACTCATTAATAGGTTTTGTTTTAACGATTTATTATTGCAGTTCTTGCTCAAGAGGAAGAAAGTGCCAAGAAAGAAGAAAATATAAGTTGTATTAAACTTGAAAAACAATATTATTATGGTCCAATGAGTCAAGAATACAGTGACCAACTTGTATGTAGTAATAACTGCAGCAGGTGAGAACTATTGTTGATTTGTGGATATCTGCCAACTGCTTTGGTCTCAATAATGATTTCTAAAGATGATGATAAAAAGTAATATCTAAGACCACTAAAAGAATTTGTATCAGGTGCAATTCAGTAGAATTAACAGAATAATGTTCACCTTACAAACCTTTGCAGACGTGCTATTGTTTATATGCATAGTGTCCCAAACCACTAAAATCAGACCACTAAAAGATGATGTCAAAACATCAATTTTGTTCATGCAAGTTTTTTTTTTGAATCCATTATCTATGTCTCTAATATTATACAGAACAATGTCTACACTAATACAAATACAGACTTTGGGATTTTGGCCTTTATAGACAGGTGGCCTTTCTATATAGGTTTGCTAATTTGCTTTGTATCAAGTTTTTACGTGTATAGGTATATAAAAATAAATGTATATAGGTATATATATTAATAGAAATAGAGTTGTATACATTGATACATACAAATAGATTTGTATATAAATTTAAGTGTATATATTTTTGAATATTGAGGTTAATACTGTGTATATTAAGTGTGTTTTGTTTATATTTCTAGGGACTGGAGTGTGAGTCGAGTTCCTGGTACTAATTTGCTTCTAGTAATAATTGAACCTGATTGTGGGTCTTGTCCTAATATTATAGTTAAGCAAGAACCAGAGAAAGATATCCTTTTAAACAAGTGTTCATTAATCTTGCATGTGGTTGGGAACCTGATGTATTAATGTCATTTTATCTGTTTTATCTGTTTTATCTGTTTTATAATGTGGTATGAATTATTATTAAATTTCTACTTCAAGAGTGAAAATCCAAAAACAAAAAAAAGTGATTAATTTTATAATTTGAAGAAAATCAAATATATTAAAATGTTTCGGTTCAAATATTCAGTAGTTTTTGGAAGCCACTAACTGAATTGTTAAAGAATACTGCCTTTGGATGTTAAATATTTTTCAGTTGATCTGAAAATGTGCTTCCAATTGCAGAACGTTATTCACTAGTGTGTAGTGTATGTGATATGCAATCCCAAATAGTTTTCTTGTTGTTTTTTCTTGACCGCCTGATTCACTAGATGGCCCAGATCCCTGTGTAGCTGCAACACAGCCAAGATATAGAATGAGGCCTGGTTTTTGTTATAATAATCATCCACAAGTAAGTAATATGTAATCAATGTACACTAATAAGCTCACTAGATGCATACATGTCCTGAACTTGTCCTCTGATGACACTATCAGATTCTTTGGTGTTTTGGAACAATTGTATGTCATACATTGTATGTGCTTTTGAAACACTTAAAGTGTGAACCTCGGGAGACTGACTGTGCATAATAATGCAGATTGCCACTAACTGAATACAATAACAAGAAATGCAGAAAACATTTGAAGACAAGTACAAGATTTGCATAAAAATTTGTACATTTCAAAATATATTCTTTAATTCACACATATTTATTACTATCAAATGGAAAGTATTGCCTTTTGTCCAAAATTACATGATTGCATGATTCTAGGGTTAGTTGTAAGGTTTGTGAAATATCATCATAGTGTTAGGGTCTATAATTTAGTAGTAATCAGATGTCTTTGTCTTGTACAATGATTTCTTGTCTCATTATGACTATCTGTTTTGATTGCAGGCTGATTACAGTGATTGTGGCAAAGGATCTAGCATATCAGCATCAATATTCACTGTACTTACTCATCTAACATGTGCATTTTTGATAGTCCGGCTTTTCTAAAAAAAAATATATGAATAATATAGGCTAGAATGTTAAAATGTCATCCCACCTATCACAGTAGACTGCTGCCTCATACTTTGCATGATAATATGTAGGTAAGTTAGATCATGTGTATTGCCAATTTTAAACACTCAGGGAGAATTGGCATTGCTGATGTAGAATAAGCACCAGATTAAACATGTACAGGTTCACTGTCATCTCTGCTTAGCAAAGTCTCGCTTTGATGGTCCAGAAAATATTTAATTGATTTCTCTTTAGAAAAAAGAACAAACAAAAAACTTGTACTACAGCATTAACAACAGGTGACAGTTTTTTACAATAATGCCAAATTTGTATTTATTAATAAGAATGATAGTGTTTTTTCCCTGGAATGTTTTCTATTTACCTCTGATCGTATGTACAGTAGTTTTATTTATGTTGCAGTTTTTAGTTGTCTAATATGGTTCATATATTGAATATTTACATATACCTCTCATTAGCCATGACATTTTTAGTAGCATACAATTATCAAAACACCTAATATGTCCTGATTAGATACATATATGTAGCTAGTCATAGCAAGTTTTTAATATTTTTCATTGCTAATGTTATTGATGAAGGTCATACAAAAATGTACTTGTTTTTTAGAAACTCATTGAAAGCATTCAATTTCTGCTCCATTATCATAGATCATAATTGTATTGACACCAGATTAGTGTTTGCTGACCTGGCTACCATTCAGTGTTTTGAAATAGCCATGGAAATGTTAAGATGAAAATTTCTAAAACATTAATGAAATGCTTACAGATTTCATTCTGACTTTTAAATGCACCTTGAACATTTAAGTCTGTATACTTCTAATTGAGCTATTATGTTTAACACATTTCCTGCTGAAAGCCTCTAGCCAATAGTGAAATTGTGAAAAAAACAATATCAGCCAGCTATGTGTTAATAAGTACACTATATACGATTGTCAGTTCTTTGGGACACCTTTTTATTTGTAACATGTAATTGCTTTGCTGCTATTCACATCTATATTGACTGAACCATTTTAACAGCAGATACGTAGTGAACAATTAAACTTGTTTTCTGAGAATTTAAAACTTAGATAATCAAGTATTGATAGGTAGTATTTTATTGGATGTAGTTGCTGGATTGAGTTTCTTTTGAAGCATTAACTATAAACTGCCACGTCAATTTGTATAAAGTTTAAATTTTGTACAGTTCAACATTTTTTCTTCTTCATTTTATCTATGTAATATTGTTGATGCATGTTATTTACAAGATTGCTTAACAGTGAAGTATACTACTTGTTTTGTTTTTATATATTTTCCCTGAGTAAATATAACTTGGGTTGTGCAATCTTACTTATGTTATCACTTTATTGATGATACACATACCAAAGAATCATGAATCCGGCATTTTATATTTTGGTCGTGCCAAATGATGGTTGGTTGTCGAGGTGTGTAAATTTAGATGATAAACTAATATAATAACATATTAATAATAAACTGTAGTGTTAATTTATCTCAGAGATAATGGCTCAATAATTACTATAATTGTGAAATTTGAATTTTAGCATTAATTAGGGTTAGGTAATCATATTGTTATTTGCCATGACAACTGCACTATTTATGACATTGGTAACCACTACAATTACAAAGGTTTTCCAGTCATCATGTAAATATATTGTATATACATAACTTTTATGTTGTCTTCTTAGATTCACCAATATGTTCTATTTATTTCTATTTATTGTAATAAAGCCATATTTTATTGCTATTTATGGTAGAAATGAAATAATTTTATTAAAATTTTATTAATGCACATGTATTAATAAGTTTTTATATATTTTATGCTGTTTTACCAATTTTCAAAACTCAATAGCTATAAACATGATAATGTGAATGGTGTATACTTGTTTGCAGTATTTGTAACATGGGATAGACATTATTTGATGTCATTGTGGATACTCATACTGGACTAGCATGTATTTGCTTTTTTGCATTATGTAGAAACCCATTTATTTAATGAAATGAATAAAAGTTAAGATGACAAGCCATAATAATTCACATACAGTGTACTTAACACTGCAATATATAAATTGGGTAAAATAAGTCTGCCAACATTTATAACCACTCTTGTCTATAGTCTTTTTGTTGAAAACACTTGTAGCGACATTAATAAAGTAAAATATGCCACCTACATAGTTTCGGATATATACAAAACCATTTATTATGTTAATTAATGAAAAGAGCACATGAAACCATTATAAAACTTGAACAAAAAGTGAATTGCATTTTGTATTCTTGCATTATGCTTTTGTGTTTTTGAAAATAAATCATAAAGACAAAAACAGGTTATATTATTCAGAAATTTGGTATCAGCTTGGTTTTGTACTTGTAACTAATTGGATGAGTGGTTTTAGAGATCATTTGAATTTAATATATTGTGTAATTAGATCAAAACAATAAACTAATTTACATATCAATAGATAACAAATGAAGGTACTTTGGATAACTTAAAGCGCGGTGGTCGTCGCGCAGCGCGTGTTCGAATTTCATGTAAATAAACAATGTATTTTACACACGTATACGTCGCTATTAGTCCCATATTGAACAGGACTTTAAATGATTCTGAAACCATCTGTGACAATGTTCAGTGAAAAATGTAAATATGAGTATTTCATACAAGTATATTTGCTGCATTGACTATATAAATACATTACACATGTGTGCAATAAATGGTAATTTTTACAGAATAATCATTCTGAAAAGGAATGTTTCCATTATGATCGATATGCAACAAAATTATGTCCCAATTTTCCTAAGAGTAAACAGCTTTTCAGCCTTATATTTTGCTATACATGCTGTATTTATTATTATTAAATCTATTGTTTTTGTGATATTTCAATTGTTTAGTTTCTTTTTTAGATATCAAACTGTCATTTGTAAAGGGGTTACCCATTCTAAAAGAAACTTCAGTAAATTGGTAGTCTAGTATCTTCTCCCTATTTGTCCCCAAGGTGCTGAACAGTCATTGTGTGTTTTGCCTCCTTTTTCTCATGTCCATCTTACCTTCAAACACTCCTCCAATTTTCAATAGGGTAATCCCCAATGAGAATATAAATGATCAATGACATTCACAAACTACGCCATCCGAGTCTAACCATTTGTGCAATTAATATGTAGTAATTTATGCATTGTATTTATACCTCGCTGCACTGTAGATAAATATTTGTACGATCCTTTTCCAATAAACAACAGATTTTGTTATCCACTTGGCAATGTTTTTGTGAGTATGTTAAACAGAGTAAATGCATGGAGTTTTGCATGTACTGAATCCATTCTTAGTGTATTTTTGGAATGTGTTCCACCCATCAACCTGGTTTTACAGCAGCATGACATTTAGGTCTTAGTTATTCTTTTATACATTATGTGGTTATGGAATTCCTCAATCTTTTATAGTATGTATTTACATTCTTGTTTTAACTTGGCTACCACATCAATTTCCTGAGAACTATGTGTATCGTAAAGGTTAACTCCTACATTGGATTCTAGATATTCACTACAAGTTCACAGGTGCTGCGAAGACTGACATAGAGTAAAAACAACATCACAGAAATCGTGGCACTAATTTCTGTTATGGATCTATGTATTATATGAAGTTTTTGGTACTGGAGTTGTAACATATTTTTCTGATTTATAGAATCTGGTGGACTCAGATCACAAAGCAGAATCTGCTCAATGATTTCTTAACCTGTGATTAGACCCTGTTTTAACTGTTCTGGTTAATAATATAGACACTTTCACTCTTCTAGTTTCCTTGTTGAGAACATCTACATTACGCCTATTGCTGTTTTACTATGAAGTAAATTGTCACCATTTCTTTACATGATATGTAGCTTCTGTGAATGGTGCCTGGAAAAACAGATACAAAGCGTATTTCAAAATTCCACGATGTTGATAAGTGTTTGTATTGCAAACATTATATTATATTTTATGCTTGACTTGATGTTTATATTCCTTATTTACATACTCTGATGCTGTGGAAGGTCTTTCAGATCTTTACAGTATGATAACAACTCGTAGTGAACGTGATTAATGGCGTATGAGTGGATGGTGTGGGTGGTATATTGACAAATACATAGATGTGCATGAATTAATGGAAGGTGAATCCACTACTGATACTGAAACCAATTGTGAAAATTATTTTTTCAGCTTGTTTATGTTGCCCCTGAAAAGTCTGTAAGTGTGGATGATGTTGACGTTATACTTATTGGACATGTTCTTTTACGATTTTCACAATTTGGGCGTGGTTTCGCAAAAGTGGCTTGGATTCAAATATCCGGCCGTAGTATTTTTGTAACTCAGTGTTTTCGTAACTCGATGTCCGTTGCTCAAACAATTCATTATCTCGCTCAAATTAGTGAAATATAATCTATAGTTAAAATATTCCCATACGTATTTTTCAGTAGTGTATTCAAGTGTTAATTACATGACTGTGAAAATCTCGTGTCCTAAAGTGTGCACAAACAATTTCTGCGCACTGGGAATCGCAAACATAAATGTACGAAACAAGGTTATAAACAAAAGATGGTTTTTATAGTGTGCACGAAACACAAATTGTACACCTTTTATTGCGCACTTGTTTGTAGAAGAAAATCTCAAATGAGGAAGCAAGTGACAAGAAACAAGTCTATTTATAAACTTCTTATGCTGCCCAGAATAGAATACATTTTATATAAATGTTTCACATTGTCATAACCACTGACAAATGTACACAATAATGTAGTTGCAAGAATATGCGATATGTACATGTTTGAGCCACATAGTATACGTATAGCAGAGTATACAGCATACGTATGATAGAGTGTGCGGCATGATCTAATGTGCATGTTAAAAACGAGGGCAAAATGATTGCTAAATGGTTGTCAAATTAACGACGTAACGTTAGATACACACTCAACACGCTCACTTAACGTTTAAAAGTCGTTCGTCGCGCGCTAGTGACACGTTAGCACACGTAAATGATTTCCAGGGGTATCTTACTTGGTCGCTCATTACACGCTCCTCGTGCGTTAGGAACACGCTAGTCATACGTTAGGCACTCGTTAATCGAACGCTGGATGTGTCTACCTCGTTCCAGAACGCTCGGAAATTGGACGATTGGAACGTTCAGAGAACGCTGACCAAAACGTTCTGGTGTGACGGGGCTATAAAGGTAGACTTCAACGACTTAGCTATTTCGGATTCCGAAGGAGGTTGATTTATAAATGAGCAACCGACAGCGCACACATTAAGCTGTTTCTACCACACTTACCACTCTGCCTAACCCTAATTTCCCCCACAGAATTTGGAAATTATAGAATAACAGGGAACCTGTTAAATATCTAAGCACTGCATAAACAACGCTTACAAATCAGATGTGGCGTGCTTTATCTGTATTTAAATACTAGTATGATACTTGTGCAGGTGGAATAATTCTATAATTGCTATTAAGTGGTGTATAACATGATATTGGTTCAGAATTTTTCCTGGCGAATACCTTAGTTTATGCAGCTGACATCAATCAATCAATAGCTACTCTCCATGGCTGTTGTTTAAACGATACTCTTGCAAACACCTTTGGCCGGATTCAGTCAAAGATTGAAGCAAAGTAAAATGAAACCATACATTGGCCATGCACAGTTAAATAATGAGATTGAACACACGACGATATTTTACAGGTTCAAGGATTATAGGAAGAAGGATTAATATGGATACAACATAACAATCTCACAAATTCGAGCAACAAAATTGGCACATGATCGTGAGAAGTAAGCAGCAAAGCTTATATTGGGGTTGGTATTGCACAGAACAAATGGCAGGAAAAAGGGCAACGGTTAAGATAAACCACTTCTACAATGATAATAGACTAGAGAACATGGCTTGGTCAAGAATGGTTCACAGTCACAAGCTGTACGTTCCAGACAAGGTATAGTTATACATAGCACAATAAAAGATATTGATGCAGCACAAGACACAAAGAGTAATGGAAATAACACCGTGACAACTATCGCTGAGTGCCTCTAGAATTTGATGCTAAGTTTGCAATTCAAGTGAGTAATGGGTAACGATGTGGACCACCATTTTTTCTTAGATTTCAAGATGGCAATATTTCAAGATCTCAAAATGATAATTTGCTTGAAACATGTTTCATACAAGACATTGCATGTCTCTGGTGTGTACCTGTGGAATATCTAGAAAACGTACAATATGGAAAAAAACTTCACTAGCAGCATGTCACAAACCCCAATAATACTCTGCAAAGGTATGATGGCATCAACCCATTTGCAAACTCTTTAAAACAAATTCAATATCAACTGGAGTTAGATTACTCCAAAGTTACTAATGACATCTTTTGATCACTGAAGTTAAACACAGAACTTGACAAGAACAAAATTACTCCTGCTGCCACTACAGTGATTAAAGAAGATCGTCAATGATTCGGACTTCTTGTCTAAATGGCATGAAGTTTAAATTGAGACTTGTGCCATTTGAATACGTCAGTGCCACTGTCTATTGCCAAGCCCGACAAAGCATCGTTGCAATGCTTAGATGAATCACATTGCATCCAAGTAGAACTAGCACAGAATGCAATATGGGTAGCTGATGACATGGCTGCAGTTCATTCACTGAAACTAAGACCTAAATGACTATGATAACAACATGATGCAAGAATTGAAATGTCTTGAGAGCAAGACTGTGAAACTCACTTAATTTGCCATTCTATTACCAACAAAGATGCCGCCATAGTCGCCAACGATACTAATTGTTTTTTTAAAGAACGATTGTGACAAGAAAGCAGATGTAAGCCAAATATGCGCCTGTGTCTACCAACAATGATTGCACTAACTGGGTGATACACTAGAATGTTGGGAAGGTAAAGGTTATTGAAAAATGAATGAAGAGCCCGGAAAATGTTATGCTTTTAAGTGCTATTGGTAAAAAACCATTAATTGACCAGAATTATATAAATCAAGTTCAGAAGTTTGTGCAAGTGATGGTGTATTCTGGAAAAGGAAATAATAGTTAAGTGTCAACTAGGGTGTGATTATATGTCAGCATAAAAATAAAATCATCCACACATGTTAAAGCAAGCTGTTCTAAAAGCCTTTGTGGCACTACTAGATTCGCCTCACAGAAGCAATAATAACTTCTCTGGCTGGAAATGGTGCTTGAAACGCATTTTGGTTTACTTGTTGCTCATTTCTCTTTCTCACCAGCGACAACGAACTAACCACTAATAAAACAACTATTCCACGTGAGAGCGTTGATTCTAACATTGACAATAACATTGATATCTATATTTCCCCAACCCTAAACCTAGATATCGTGTATAGTTGTATAGTGTTGGTCCTTGAAGAATAATTCGAAACTGACTAGGGTGTGTCCTACTTTAAGAGATGATTGAATACCACGATGTTTCTGGTTTTATGTTACGGCATGTAGATTTGAGATAATAGTAAAACGTGACATCGGCGAAACATTCTCCGGCGACTCGTGTACAAAATATCAATAGAATTAATATGAGCAAAACATCAATTTATTTAGTGATAATTATATTATATTATATTCACTGAACATTACAGATTATATGAGGTATTTGACAGCAATAATGCATTAACCCACACATCACATAACAAAAAGATTAAGACTATCATAGCGGTGATATCACGTATATTTCAAATTGGATATAGTTTCTCGTTTTGTGATAAATTGATTTAAATGAAACCATGGTGATATATAAACACATACGTAGGTGATATAGACATTCATTGACAGATTGCTGCCCGACTAAATAAATTTACGTAAATTAAGGAAATGCCACAGGCTCTGTTTGATATGCTTGTCTACATGTTTAATTGAAACCAATATGACGCTTATTGCAGCTAGATTATTTTGATGTCAACAATCCAAAAAAAACAAAACAAAAAAAACAGTCTATCCCAGAAAGTCACAAGTTTTCCGAATTCAATAAATGGAATACTGAGATATTTTGTTCAAGTTTAAGTACAACAATAGCTGAGGCACACAAGTGCATTTGATTGGTTTAGGCCAGCTAAAATATTGTAATCTGACCCGGTGTTACGCAAAGTTATTATCCAGTTTCGTAAAGACAGTTTGATATTTACGTACATGTTTAACAGGAAACAAATCCAAAGCTCTGTTTTGTTCTCAAACACGTTTTGTATAAAAAATATTTGTGTTGATTGATGAAACATCATGTAAATTTTATGTAAATAAACAATGTATTTTACACGCAGAACAGAACGCGGCAAAAAAGTAAGCACTACACTACATTACACAAGGCTCTGGGAGTAATTTACATCGCAACAAAACAAATGTGAATTTATACAATATTTACATTAGTTTATTGTTTTAAATTATAATTACTCCATTTACAAGTCATTATAGTGTGAATTACTCAACATGTAGTCACAAATTCCATATACTTGCCGTGAACACATAAACTAGTACATAACCTAATTTCGAATGCACTTTAACCTTTATAGAAGCTTAATTGTAACTATTACATATTCTCCAAAAATACTATCACTTACTTATTAATTAATTATTCTTACTCGTTTCTCATTACTACATTGAATTTGGTTTATAACATAGTTAATATTTAATTATTTGTAATGAACCCCATTAATTTTAAATATAGTATTGAGTTTAGTATACGCACGATTCCACTTATAGTTGTATCCTTAGTATTCACATTAACATATTAAATGCAATGCCTGGTTTTGTGATAAATTGTTTAAAATGAGACCATGGTCAGAGAACTATAAATATATATATGGACGAAACACAAAAAGTATCAAATAGTGTATGAAAAAGGAGCATTGGCTTTAACTGAATGAGGTTGCTTCTTATTGAATGATCTTACTGACAATACATGATCCAGCGGATATTTCCCGGTTCCGAAAAACACCGTGACACTGTTTTTAGATGGACGCTACTCTGTGACTACTA